ATGCTTACAAGATTTCCGCGATCTTGGAAGTTCTACGGTGGCAGCGGCCTCCTTTCCAAGATAGTCCCATTTTGAAGGAGTGTCCCTTGTTCGGGAATGAACAATTCCATCGACGTCTGGAGGACTCCGGACGATGCGGTCAACTTCCGTTGATGGAAAGATGTCGATCCGAGGTCGGGAGATGGAGACGAAGATGGACGCGAGACACGCACACACTACAATAGATCCGTCACTTGGAACTTTCGAGAGAAAAAGCCGTCGTGTCCTTGAATTTCTGGGGTTTTATCCGTTTTCCTCCGATTCCACTTTAGGTCTCTTCTTGTCACCTGATGACAATTATAAACATTTCGGGGGCGCGGGAGAAGTCAAAATCGACGTTTAATTCGATCTCCAACCGGAGATGGTCGATGGACTTACATTTTCCTATTGTCTAAAAGTTAGCGTCGCGTTTTCATATAAAAAAATCTATTTCTAACTAGTATATTTTTTCTTAAAAAAAATATTTTAACGCGAATTTTAGTGAAGGTTCGGACCTATCCAGAGCCTCACGTGTTCATATGTGTTTATCATTGATATAATATTCTGTATTATATTATCCTATGTTAATTTGTTAATAATACCTGATGTATGTTACCATGTATTTATGTAATCAATTCCTGTACAAGTTATTTTACGTAAGTATTTGGCTACTCTGCGGTCAATAATTTGCCAAGTAGGCCTACATTAACTGAATTCTAAAACTTATATAGCTGTAATCTAACATATTCTTGTTATATAATCCGTTTTACATGTATTATGCTTGTAAACATTCTGCTCTCAACCTCGGTGGTGCTCTGCGGAGCTGAGGCCTTCTTCGGAAATAAAGATTTATACAAAGAAAAGAAAAAAAGAAGAAGGGTAAACCCTGAGCCTCTCCTTTTGAGAAGTAAAAAAAATTTAAATTTTTTGTCGGACTTCATGAAAGATATGAGTGAGAGTGCATCCCGGTGCGAAGCAAAACAAAAACAAAGAGCGCTAATTGACATATTTACATTGAAAAATTATCGAATAAGTCAACGTTTGAATTGGTTTTCTTCGTTAATGAAGATGCCCTTGTGTGCCAGAATCCATACGAGCATGGGTTGCATTCGTGTCTTTGGTTGAGGGGGACTTTTGGTGATGTGGCCGTTAGGATATTCGAGTCTGTGCATATTATGCATATTTTTTTGTTTACTCTTTCCGCCCTGTGGGCACTAAGAGGGTCTCTTATAGCAGACCTATTATGGGTTCGGCCAGACCCACAATGGGGCAGCCGGGTGGTAAGGAACGGGGCCCGACATTTCCGAACGGATTACCCCCGAAAAATTCCTGGGGATTCCTTGACCCGTCCGAATTCGATCCCGGGTTCTATCAGAGTGGTAGGCTGCCACCTTGACTGCTTGGCCATCCGGCCATCGCGTTTGTGAGGATATCCTGATTATTGCGGTTGTTGATTGGTATGCGAATGATAGCACATTTTTGTGGTTGACAGTTAACACTGTTGGTTTGCGTCCAATTTTCAGAGGTACGAGATGAAGTGGGCGGTATTGTGACATAATTTAGTGGAGTCGTTCTCGTCCTTGACGATTTCGTTCATTGTTATGCGGTCTATTCCGGAGTTGTGTTTCTTTTATTTTTTTAAATGCTGAATTGAGCTCGTGCTCGATGTATCGTCTGTTGTATGCATCTATTGGGTAATCTGTACAGTAACCCCTATAACACGGGTTCCTATAATTACGATTCCTATAAGACGGCGAAAAAATTGCGACGGTATCAGTACAAACCTGGTAAAAAAAACTCCTATAATTCGGTAAAACGTCATCGGGCAGCCGAACTACTTTCCGCCGTCCAGCGCCACGCTACGGAGAATTTAGGCGGGTAAATTAAGTTTACTATCGTCTGTACAGTATTATGTATAAATTAGGTACCGTTTATATAATTATATATTAATTATATATAAATTAGGTACTGTATATATAATTATATATTAACTTAATTTATTGTAACTTTATTATAAATATATATATACTTTCCGCCGTCCAGCGCCACGCTACGGAGAGTTTAGGCGAGTAAGTTGAGTTTACTATCGTCTGTACAGTATGTAAATTAGGTACCGTAAGTCTAATACAGTACTGTAATTTTATACATTTCTTGTGAAAGAAACATTTCTTATTCAACGGCCATAAAAATTATTTATATTAATGATGTCTCCAAAGTTCAACGAAGTTTTCGCAGAAAAATAACTTATCAGAAATCGCGGCCGTGGTTGGTGCGCTGCTCCGCGACGAAAACAAGCTTGAACAATGGCGACGTCGAACGGTGCACACTCGATAAGTAATCCTACAATTTTTTGTTTATAGCGTAGTTTATACGGATTATTCCCCCAAAAATATACGTATTTTGGAAATGTTGAGTCGAATTAGTCTAGAATCGATTAATTTTATGGAAGAAAGCCTTTCAATCAGCCGTAGTCCGTAAACTTCAAACGTGTCCGGCTGTGATTGGCAAGGGCTCGTACAAAATTGATTCATAAAGAACGGAACGTATCTACCGTGTTATAGGGGGGTCGACTGTATTGGTAGTGGTTTGAATGTGTATGTGTTGTTCGTGTATTTGGACATTGAAATGGTGATTAAATATTTTGGATTGACGGTTTGGGGATTTATCTTTAGTGCGCAGTAGGTATATGATTTTCCACAGATTGTTCTTATAGTTAGGAGATGTAATAAATTGTTTTCAAAAGGCACGCTTTTTTGAATATTATGTGTTGTACTGTCGCTTCTTTGGCACGTATCGTTTTCGCAGTTTGTATGTCTGCAGAAGCGATGGTATGCTTGTATTTTTTATTTTATTTTTTTTTGTGCTTCTGTCGACACTTTTTATTCCTCCATCGTGGGTTAGGTCTTTGTTGTTTTGGGTTGCTGTTGTTGTGGATAGATGTGAGTTCTTTGTATTTGTTGACGAGGTCATTGTAAGTCCATTCCGTTTGGAAAGCCTAGGTCCCTAGGAGATTAGTATTATTGGTATTATTGGTTATTCTCTTTTTATTTGTCTGTCCTTATGTTCGTAATGTCGTGGTACTTATACTCTTCCATTCTAAATAATAAGCGCTGTCTTTTTAAAAAAAAAATTATTAGAAGAAGACATTACAGTTGCTATAATTTTTATCGGAGAAAAAATAAATGATTTTTTTTCCACAAAATTGTTCATTTATTGTATTCAGATTATTCTATTCTGCGACATATTAATCTGAAGTCCCATGAAAAGAGCGGCCGGATGGCCGAGCGGTCAAGGTGGCAGCCTACCGCTCTGGGTGACCCGGGTTCAAATCCGAACGGCTCGAAAAATCCCCAGGAATTTTTCGGGGGTGGTCCGTTCGAATATGTCGGGCCCCACCCGGCAGCCCCATTGTAGGCTTGGCCGAACCCATAATGGGGTTGCAAAAAGAGGCCCTCTTAGTGCCCACAGGGCGGAAAGAGTTAAAAAAAAAGTCCCATGAAAAGTGGAAGATAATTTTTAAAAAAGCTTTCCCATATTCGGAGTATATACTGTATATCTTTTCTGAGTCGTATCATGGTATGCATAGAGTACAGGTCTGGAAAATAAACAGGCCAGTAATGTTCGGCGCCTTTTTGCAAAACTTTAGTTGGCGGCCCTATACCTTTCTCCCCAATAAAAGTTTACTTTATAAAAACGTATTAGTGATTAAAAATGAAATACGAAATATATTATTTATGAGTTTATTAAATTACAAAAAAGTGTATAATAAAAACAATAAACATACAAGAAGGGAACAAAAAAAAACATCAAAAATAATTTGGAAAAAAAGTGAAGTAATTTATATTATTTGGCAAAAAAATCACTAACTATTTGCTCCTTGTACAGTTTTACTTAAATTAATTGATAAACTTACAATTTTATAAAAACAAAAATATTAAATATTTTTAGTTTTTCTTTTTTATTTGATTAAGGCAACGAGACACATGGATGATCTGCCGAGGGAAATTCCGCTCGGGAGGTCTTTTATGGGAAACTAGCCCCTATTTAGGCGTTAATGACGTAAAGAAAACTCTGTCATTAGTGGGCTAGATTTCTCGGAGTCTGTCTCTCGATACCCACCCGCCCATCGCGGGCATGGAAGGATGGCTTTTTTTATAATTCTTCACACCCTACTACACTAAGAGGCCTCATTTATCAAGGCCATTATAAGAGGTTCCTCTTCCAAAACGAGAATGAGTTTGTCTGGTATTTCAGGCCCACAATAAGGCGGCCGGGTGGTGAAGGAGGAAGCCTACATATCGGTCGGTTCACCCTCCCGAAAAATTCGGCCCTCCGGCCGTCGGACCTTTTATAACAAGCCCATTATGGTTTGCCAGACTTATAATGAGCCGGTTGGGTGGTGAGGGACGGACACAACGTATCCGGAAGGACCACCACCCAAAAACTTCCTAGTGTTTTTCGATTCGTCCAGATACGATCCCACTTCCCCAGAGACTTAACCGCCCGGCCATCCGGCCACTATCGTAGAACGGAACGGAAAGAAAAAATTAAATCCACAATCGTCACGGAAAAAACATCACGGTTTATGTCACCCATTCGCCTACCAGTGGCCGAGCGGTCTTCGTACCCTGAACTCTGGGAGTTCGGTTGTAGGTTCGCGCCTCGCTCGGACGGGCTGGCCACGTGGCCTAAATAGGGGCCAGTTTCCCTTAAAAAAGACCTCCCAGAAGGCATCCCCCTAGGCAGATCGCCTAAGTGTTGCGTTGCCATAACTTAGCAAACAAGCTACCCATTTAATGCTCCAAGATGGAAGGAGTCAACAAAAAAAATGTAATGCATAATTATTTTTCTTAAAAAATATATCAGGGTTATTAATTATTATTTAATATTGTCTAATTTAATAAATTAAAACATATTTTTAAAATTTTTCAGATTAAACTTAAATTTAAACTAATTATCGTCTGTTCGGAGTTTCATTTGTCGGTACGACAACGATACCACCATTTTTCGTATGTGTGTCGTCATAGTAAGTGTGTGTCGCGCTTTTGTTTTTCGTGTGTTCACGAAGAGTTACGAGAAGACTAGTCTCTATACGAACCCGATAGAAGAATAAAATAGAAAGAACTGTGAGTGTTTAATTTGCCGAAGAAACAAAAATGACAGACGTTAGCAGACAGTTAACAGAAGCCAAACAAGTAATTCGTTCTATTTTAATAACAGCACCTAACGGCTTAACAGTACGTCAGTTAATATCGGATTATAAGAAACTGAATGGAAAAGAATTGCAATTTAGAGAATTCGGCTACGCTAATCCTACGTATTTCTTACAGTCGATGCCAGAAGTGGTTAAGTTAGAATGGTCTCCTTCTATTCAAGACTTTATACTGAAAGGAATTGCCGACGAATCTACTAAACACATCGACAGTTTAGTCAAGAGAAGTAAAAGAAGTAAGAAGAATACACACAATTTTCCTAATTCACGTTCTTCTCGTTTTGATAAGAATTTAAAAACTTCAAATGCAAGACCTACAAAACGTTTTGTTACAGCAGATTTGAAAAATAAAATCCAAGAACTTTTATGTTGCTACAAAAGTGGAATATTATTGAGTAACTTCGAATTGGCATTTTATAAGCGTTTTGGAATCAATTTAGACTTAAAGCTATTAGGATTTTCTGATTTAGAAGAGTTTTTGAAAGAAATGCCAGATATTGTTAGAATGGAAGAAAATGGTAAAAGAGTATGTTCCATTGATAGTATGAAGAAAAGGGAGGAAGGTAAGAATGCACGTGCTTTTCGATTTTTGAATTATGTCAATATATTCTATTGGATCTGTTGTTTAAATACGGCAAAACATGCCTAGACCGGACTGGTGGGGTACTGAAAGTTTTTTTCTGGTTTGGTAAGTCTTAACATGAAAAATCTAAGAATTCCTGTCTGGGCGGTTTTCTGTAAAATTTCCATTTTGGACGTGTTTTACTGTAAAAGTTTAAAAAAGAGTCCAAACAAAGAAGTTCTTGTAATGGATTGTAATGCTAGAACAATCGGGACATTTCAATTTTCAACACTGACTCAGCGCTGATCTCAACATTCGTTAAAATTCGTTCCTTTTTTCAACGTTGAGGTAGCGCTGTTGTCAGCACTGACTCAACATACTCAGCACTCAACAGATATGTAGACTGCTACTTTCCAATGAATTGTGGGTAATTGGTGAGACATTTGAATGGAATCCATCTTGCTGAGAATGGAATTGTGGGAACTAAGCACTTCTTACTTGGTTACTTACTTCTTCTTAGTTGGAATGTCGTTGATGACGTCAAATTGTTGACTTCAACAGTTGCGTTGAAAATTGGAATGTCTCGAATGCCTTTATTCTAGCATTTGTTTCATGAAGATAGAACCTTTTTGTTTTATCTGCATGAAACAAAGGCTGCATTCAGCAGACTCAACAGTTGTAAGGCTGAGCATAAAAACCCTCGCCGTAAAAACTTTATTGCAGACAATGATATTTTACGCCAAAGCAGGTTATAAAATCAGCATAAAGTGAGTCGAGTAGTGTTCAACTTTCGACATGAATACGACCGTAAAATGTTACCATCCACCAATCAGAAATCACTGGAATCCTGGTCATTGTGACATGGTGTGAAAATGGTGAAAAATGAACTTTTGTGTATGTTCTCTTGTTGCTACTTGGAAAAGACCTAGAATAGATCTGGAAAGATTTATCGAAAACATCTGAAAGTATTCATGCATCCCAGAGTAGGTATTTCGATTATAATAATGGATGCCTAAAACATGCAATATGAATGGCCAAAGGAAAATCCTTTAATTTAGAGGAGTATATAATAAAAAAGCTAAGCTTATAAGTGCTGTATATTATCTTAATATACAGCACTTATAAGCTGTATATTAAGATAACAGCTTAATATACAGTATGAAAATATATACAGTAATGATATACAGTAATATGAAAGTTAATATATAAAAGTAAAGATATTATTTTTACTACATTTGTAATTATAGTACAGAAAAAACTTGTAGAATATAATCATTGTCTGTATATCAATATATCACATATACAACCATAACTTTGATACTACCGTCAAAGTAAAAACTTCGCTAGTTGAGTCAGTCCTTCACCACAATCTAAGTGCAAATGCAAATAGGTCACGTGATTAAAAGTATTTACAGCAAGGGTTTTTATGCTAGTGGAGTATTGGCCTAACTTAGCAAATTGGTAGCTGTTACATAGGGCGTATTCAAGATCTCAGCATCAATCCAGCGAAAAGCTGCTGGAAGTGATGCAATTGCTGATGTTTTCTAAAGAGAACAAATGCTGACTGCCAGGAATTTCGGGAGAGAAAAACAAAAAAAAATGGCGAATTATGTGGACTTCCACGTTACGTTAAATGATTTTTGAACTTCTTTAATTAGAACAGATTAATGAAAAGTAAAAGTTTTGAAAAGAGAGAGGGAAAGATATTTTAAATTTTTGTAGGAGTTTTAAATAACTAAATCAATCCTAAGATTATACTTCAATGACTAAAAAAAATTATATGTTGTCTTAGGTAAATATACTAGTACAGTAGAACCTCGATTATCCGGACTAGTTGGGGATGAAGGTAGTCTGGATAAGGAAAAATCCGGATAATCGAAACAAATACTTTAATTTGTCTATTAATGATAATACAACACGTTTTCTTTTCGATGACATATCGGTAATATTAACAGTAAATACNTCTTTCAAATACAGTAGAACCTCGATTATCCGGACTAGTTGGGGATTAAGGTAGTCTGGATAAGGAAAAATCCGGATAATCGAAAATCCGGATAATAGAGGTCCGGATAATCGAGGTTCTACTGTATATTAAAATATTCTATTAAAGTATTAATCTCGAATATTAATTTATTTGGGGTTTATTCATCGACAAATAAATTAAATTCAAAATTGTCAATGCAAAATAGAGCTCTTAAGAGCCTTATGGTGGCTGCCATCTTGTTTGCTAGATTATCCAGTGCTGAAAAAGACGCTTACAGTTTGCTGGAAGCAACTGGAAGCAATCTGAGATTTTGAACAGAGGTGCTGAAAAGTGCTGGCTGCGCACTGAGATTTTGAATACACTCATAGCAACCTGGATCTGCTGAACAATGGGTGTTGCATGAGTTGGAACAGGAAGTTGGTGGCACTATAAGTAGCTTTCCACTTTCACGTGTTGAAACTTTCCCATTCTTAACATCTCACTTCATATCCAAACAGTTTGGATATGAAGTGAGATGTTAAGAATCACTGTCTTTAAAGTTCCTGTAGAATTCAAGAATTAATTCAATTCATAAAATCACAGTTGATTCCTAATACCCAGCTCTAATATCATTATTTGTTGTTCATGATTTATACCTGTTCTATCATTAAAGTGACAGATTTGAATTTATTAAAGTTCTAATAACAATGGAATAAAAACAAACAGAAATTTAACTTTTTATTAGGCTTACAATTTAAATTATCATCATAATAAAAATTAAAAAACTGATGAATTGTTTGGTAAAATAACAATAATAAAAATAAATTTTTGTTTTATATTAGAGTACAGTAGAGCATTGATTATCCGACCCCCGATTAACTGTCACCTCGGTTAACCAACCATCCTAGTCAGCAAATTTCAAATGTCCGCTAGTGATTGGCGCTACAATATTTGGCTATGTCTTGGCTACTTTAATATTATTTTTGCGTGTTTTAGCTGGCAACACTGGATCGACCATGAAAGGGAGCCAGTATTTAAACGAGGCTTAATTTTCTAATTTTTAACGATACAATAGCGACGATTATTATTTTAAAAAATTTTTGTTAGGCTTAACATCGATGAAAATTCAACGCGAAGTAGGTTAATAGCGATATACTAATATACTAATTACATGGGATATAATAATATACTACACTAATAATGGATTTTTTCATACTTTCTGGTTATCTGACTTTTCAATTATCCGACCAACCCCAGTCTCCAATTGAGTCGGATAATCGAGGCTCTACTGTATTGCCATCATAAACTTATATTATATGGGTGCATTTATGCTTTAATGAATGTCTATTCATATATAATATTTGTATTCTCTTATATGGGTGCAACCATCTTTGATCAGTTACAAAAGCTAGCAAAAGGTAGCGTAAATGAAAGATGCTACCAAATGTGATGTCGAAACACCAAACTTGTTCTGAAACAGCACTACCGTAAAGGACATTCAGCAGAAAAATACTCAATCATTTCAGAACTTCCTGCTTTCTTGTCTGAAGTTGCCACATGACCTCATGACATCACTAGGTGTGTGACAAGTTCAGAGAAGAAACCAAGACTCCATAGACAGGAACTCGACATTCTGCTGTTTTTTCAGAAGTGTGCTTTTTGATTTAATTTTATGTTGAATGTTGGAGTAAATGGAGTAAGAATTTTATCGCCATCTTAATAAAAATATTGCTAAGTGGCAAGTTTGGTGCCGTGCAGTGTGACCCCCTGATAACTTTCCTTCTGGCAAGAAAATTTAAAATTGTGTTGCACCATCTGTTAAGATATTCTATTTTAAAAACTTTTTATATTATTAATTTTTATAAAATAAAAAGCTGAAAGCAGAGAAGAGTTTTATTTAAAAAAAAAATTGAAAACGCAAATAACAACCTTACAAATAAAACTTTATAAGTCCGACTCTACTTGCGATATGACACATTATCCTTTCTATCTCCCACACCTTGACCTTTAACCATTAAAAAGTAATAGCCTCAATCCTCTAATTACAGACTTCCTTGCAAAATTTCAGAAATTTTTCACAAAAGGTACAGAAATGAGTTATTAAGCTCTAAATTGGGTGAACAAAATCACCTCCCCCCAAACACACACATTAACATTCATACATATAGAAAAGGCTCAGTTTTTTTGCATTTCTTGATGTTTTAAGGTCCCAAGTCCAAAAATGTTAAAATCTTAGGGTGGTTGTTTTTTTTTACCAATCATCATACTTTCCCTCTGTTATATATGACAGTTAGGAAAGTAATTATAAAATGTTATAAAAGTCAGAGTTGTAATTAGTCCAAATCAAAAACAAAACTAGTATGGTATTTACAAAACTTTCCAGACAATTGAGGAACTTAACTCTAACTTAAAATTCATTCTCTACAGAAAAAAACCAATAAAGATAACTCAAAAGTAAATCACTTACAAATAACTCTTAGAACCTAAGCCACCGAACAATCTTACCAGGAATGCCAAAAGAATTCAATCACTTTGCTAAACCTTGCACTCTATAGCTTTACTTTCTCCGTCTTTTGCTGCTCTGTGTCCCCTAAATGTGATGCTACATTAGCACTTGCCACTCTACCCCATTTACATATGTACTTGCAAACAAATACTTTTATTTCTTTGCAATCTTATTTCGAACAGGAATCATTCCAATCTTTCCATAAATGTATTTGATTTCAAAAATCAGCAAATAAATAGTATTGTGACTACTCTAACACCCTTTGGAGATCTTTTAACCCTAGATGGCTTTACATTTCTCATGAATCATGTAAGTTACTTGTGTCTTTTTGAATTTAAAACTGGGAGTGTAGAAGTTTTTTGTCTTTTAAACAAATTTAAAAATATCTTTGAACTAAATAATAATTATAACTAAAGAAAAAACCAGAAGCAAAAAGCATTTGGATTTGATTCCTTACAATGCTACCATTAAATTTTTATGTAGAGAAGTAAAATAAGAGATCACCAGGGGTGATCTCTTATTTTACATTGGG